GGCCTGGCTGAAATACTTGGGTGTCAATGAAGTCACCTGTCACCTTAGAGTAGTGCCTGAAGATTACGTGGTGCGGCTATAAACGACCGTTAAATGAAATGATGAATTTTTGAAGGATTTTGAAAACAGAAAAAATGATAGTCATGCCGGCCCAGCATCATCAAAATTGAAAAATGCCCCGGCATGAAGTGGTTAAGCTCCGCGGGACCCGAAAGGGGGTTAGCGGGAGTCAGTCATGGCTCGACAGCGTTCCAGGTGGGGCGGGCGACGGCACTTGCAGGGTGCCCGGCCCGGAGACTTCGGTATATGGGCGAAAGGGAGTACGCCCGGGGGGCCACCAGAGAAGTAGTGTTCTAGGCCGATGTCAAACGGCGGGTGGTACTCTTTGGTGTTGCCAAGGAACGCTGGCTGGCACGCTGCGTGGATTCCTCTGGGCCATGTCGGGCGAAAGGTGTGGCGTACATGTACCTCACAATGATGGCAGGACTGGCCCCATAGATGTCTGATGGGGTACTCTCTGGGAGCCCAGCTGGCTCGCCAGGCCAGCAATTGACCAGGGAGACAGGGTCCTTGCCAGATCCTGGCGGTGTCCCTGCTCGGGTCTTCCGCAGTCGACCATGGAGCTTCCGTGTCAGCTCCATGAGGCCAAACGAACCAGGGGCCTGGCCAGATCCTGGCTGGAACCCCTGGATGACGGCAAGGCCTTTTCCTCATCCTGGTAGCCAGAAAAGACACAGGAGTATGACAGATCCTGACAGCAACCCCCTGAATTCAACCAGCTAAGGCCTATAATTCACTGGTAGGGTAGACACAGCATAGCTGGAACGAGTCTCGTAGTAACAACGGTAACCATCTGCAGGGTGCATATACAAGAAAATCGAAGAAAAAACACAAAAATATACACAAAAAGAACAGTCTTACCAATAAATAGATAAAATCCAGGTTAAATTTTATCTATAGAGGAACGAAAGGTGATAAAATTGACACAGAAACGTGTAGCAAAATCGGAAACTCGATAAATCAAAGATGCCTTGAAAGACACGTCCATTACGTTATGGCGCTGAGAAAAGAAGGACGATCATGGCGGCAAGGCCGTGCTGCATTGTGGGAGGTCAGGGTGCACCACGGGTGATCAAACCTTTTCAGCGAATGAGTAATACGTGCACAGGAAATTTGCATATATGCAGTGACTGTTTGGGTAGGTAGAGCGCCATAGACTGACGTTATATAATAGTTTCAACCATCTTATATACATTAAACTCCGGCTAAGTCGGCACTTTCGGGACTCACAAAATTATGACGACTTACGCTAATGCCGGCTTGTGTTGTAAGTCGTCATTTTGCCGACTTACACACACACACACATGTATTGCCTATGTACATTATAATTCCTGGAACTAATTCAATGGCTTTGATTTACCCTGGTTTATTTCTACCTCCATGGTCAATCCCAGCATATTCATTCTCGATTATTATCCTGACGGGCTGCAAATTTGATAATTGATCATGTGCCCCTAAGGACGAAGCAAGGACGGCAAGCCACTTGCATATCACATCATGACTCGACAGTACAGTACGTAGTTACATGTAAATGTACATATATATGTACGTGATACAGTTACAGTGCAGAAAACATACATGTACACCATCCATACACGCACATCGGTTAAGTTCGTTCCATACAGTCTGGATACCAGACACGATGATTCTGACTACCCGACGAATCATTATCAAGGGTCGTCCAGGAATCTTTGGGCAGGGAACCAGACTACGTTCAATAAGGCAACCAGCAAAATGGACAGAGTGCATGTGTGTAGCACTAGAGGGGTTACTGGCTGGCCGCATGGTGCACGGGACTTGTCACTTGACACTTCTTGGCAACCGCGGCGAAGGAAACCGATACCGAAGCACGACTTTTGTAAAATGTTTCATTTTTTTAAATATTCAGTAAAAGTGCAGAGAAAATACAAGCGCCAAGAGGGATGTTCAGTCAACCCAAATATTGGATCTAGCAGTGTTAGTTATGCGTACATGTACATCCCGGGGAAAAACAAACATCTTGGATGGGAGACAAGCAAATGGGAAGGGTGTATCATTTAAACAAGAGGATTTCTCCAAGGATATAAAGGAAGTTTTCTAACCTTTCTTTCCTGTAGATTTTCTTGCTTCTTCTCTTGTAACATCTTCATATATTTTTGCATGATGGGGTCAATCTTCAAGCTCTCACTGTTTGTCTTGTCTCCTTGAGCAGGTGCTTGAGGAGGTATATCTGTTTCCTTTGGATTAATGTCAGACTCTTTACTATCATTGTCTGCCCTTTCCTGTTGAGTGCCTGAGTCTAAACCTTGTTCCTAATAGAAAACATGGAATAAAAATGGACTACAATAACTATCAACCAGTCCATCACAAGTCCCTGTAAGTCCACTACAAGTTGTTCAGTAGAAAGCCCATTCACAAGATATTCAAATGAGCTGCGACAAAAGAATTCTTTTGTCATTGTTCACTGTTATTTATGACTGGCCTTATGATGGACTCAAATACAATACTGTTATAAACACAGTGAGTATCTTGATTAGTCAAAAATTTTAATACAGGAATGGGGAAAAATTGGAGTTATCCCAAGTTAAAGTTAACTACGTCATGCCGAAGGAGGTATGCAGATGTATACATGTACATTATAAAACAGATATGGCTTATCATCTCTGGCTGAGTCCTAGATGTCTGTGAAGATATATATGTACATGTAGACCGTGAACTGAACTTGTATATGGCTAACAAGCACAGGTTGATTTGGTAGCAAATATTGCTCCATAGATGTAGCCCTGAGTGTTAACATATGAGGTTGCAGTAAGAAATGGAACAGTACAACTACTGTTCATATGACTCATAGGATTCAGTATTTGTGGCATTTGGCTATACATCAAAACTTGGCTGCTTCATCTTACCAATTTCTTTGAAGGTCAAAATTTCTGCCAAAAATAATACCATGAGCAAATGCTTAAACAAGGTTCTTATCTTGTCTTCAACGAAGGCATTTCCGATGTATGGTTACCAGATGGAGGCACACTGGAACTGGGGCAGTAGTGTGGATTGGGCAAAATCAGAACTACAGATGTGCTTAAAAAGTTTCTGACATAGTTATCTAGCCATATGGTTAAAGAGCCAGTCACTGGACAACAAGCAGGGTGCATACAATTGGGCAAGCTGTAGCAATCAGGCTGAACTTCAAAGCCAGGATACACTGATGCTTCAATTTGTGACTGGTCCATTTACAATATACTGCAGTAGCAGTGTATCCCCATGTGAAAAGAAATGCATTACACCTGCAGTGATGACTCCAGGAATATTTCTACATTCCTTTTTATCTTCTTTGTGACTCCTGGAGGCATCTTAGTTAGATGATCACAATTTAAACTGAGTAAATGCTTAGGGTGCTCCAAGTTATGGGGTGTTCATGTGTATAATGTCCTATTTTATCAACAAGAATGAGGTATTACTTTAAGATAAACAGAGTTTCAAGCTGTATGAGTTTGATTTACCCATCCTGTCAAACTTCCAAGGACTTCAGCAAAGGGAAAATTTGTCCACTTTTCCCAACGACACTCCTTGGCTACAGACCTGACAGGTCATGTGGCTTTGCAGTTTCGTATCCTACAAATCAGAAGTACCCTAGGCAAAGACTGTTGCTTGACCACCTGTGTGAGGTGAGAATACCCTAAAGGAACTCCCTGTCC